GCCGCCGCCGCCCGCGCCGCCGCCGCCCGCGCCGCCCGCGCCGCGCCCCCCCGCGCCCGCGGCCATGCCCCGGCCGCGCACGCCGCCCCAGCCGTCGCCGCCCGACTCGCCGCGCGCGCCGCCGCCGCCGCCGCCGCCGCCGGCGACGGAGCGGTCGTTCTCGCGGTTCATGCGCAAGGCCGTCGACGCGTTCCTCGGCCGCCACCTCGAGGCGGGCCGGCTCGACGGCGACGCCTTCGCGCGCCTCGGCCCCCGCGTCGCCAAGGCCCTCGTCGCCAAGCACGTGTCCGCGAGCTACCCGGAGCCGCCCGACTGGAACTTCCGCGAGCGCACGCGCGCCAAGGTCCGCGCGTACGTCGACGACTACGTCCGGCGGCGCGCGCGGGAGCGGTAGGGTGTTGCGACGGCTTTCGTCTATGCGGTTCGTAATTTACGTGTTTTCAGCGATCCTCGTGTGCAAAATTTCCACAACTCTGAGTCTCCCTCGTCCCGCCTGTGCCCCCTACGTTTAGACGCGTCAGGACAAACTTTGCAAGGAAACGGAGTGAGGAGTAGTGAGGAGCAATTCACGGCCTGGATCCAGGCGGAGATGCGTCGAGCACTCGCGCTCCTCGCGGCGCTCGTGGCGGCATCGTGCGAGCGCATCTTCTACTCCATCTGCTCCTACGACCGGAAGCAGCACCACGCCCTCCGAGAGCTCGTGCGAGACGCCTCGGGCATGTGCGAGGCGGGGTACAACGTCACGCTCCGCATCTACACGGGCGACGGCACGGCCGGGTCGACGGCCATCGGCGACGCGCAGGACCGCGACCTGCGGCGCGCGGCGGCGTGCACGCGCGCGGCCGGCGGCGACCTGTCGATGGCCTACGAGGCGCGCGCGGGCGCGCTCAAGAAGCGGCTCACGCTCGAGCACCGGCGCGAGTTCGCCGCCGAGCTGGAGCACCCGTCGCCGGGCGCCGCGGCGGACGACGTCTTCGTCTTCTCGGAGGACGACACGCGCGTGCCGCTGCGATCCGTCGCGGCGTTCCGGGCCGCGGCCGCGCGGCTCGCGGCCGCGCGCGACGGCGACCGCTACGTGCTGGGCTTCCACCGCTACGAGGTCGCGCCGGGCTACGGCGCCGTCGTCTGGGAGAACGCGCTCCCGCACCACTGGGGCCCCGTCGCCGTCGGCGGCGAGCTCTACGTGCTGCCGCACAACGTCCACGCTGCCGCGTACGCGGCCACGCGGTCCGAGCTCGCGAAGCTCGCGGCGCGGTGCCCCGACAAGACGATTATGGTGACGCCGCAGCCCGACTCCATGGCCCGGCTCCAGGCGAGCGGCTGGGGCGTCTTCCACCAGTGCGGCCGGCGGAAGGTGCTGCCCGCGCGCGACTTCGACGCGTTCTTCCTGCGCCACCTCCCGGACAAGAACTGGTGGGAGCGGTCCGCGTGCGCGTCCTTGCTCGCGGACGTCGCGGACCGCGTGGGCGCCTGGGCGCGGCGCTTCGCGGCGGGCGACCGGTCCTTCCTCTGCGGCGACTGGTGGGACGGCGGCGGCGGCTGCGCGCGCGACGAGCTCGAGAAGGTCCGCCACCTGGACGCGACCGTCGACGGCGGCCGCGCCGCGGGGCCCTGCGGCGTCGTCCGCAACGCGACGTCCGGGGCCCTCTACGCGCACCGCCCGACGGACGCCGCCGTCCGCCGCGTCGCCGTCGAGCGCGCGCGCCGCGACGCCGCGCGCGACGCGGGCCGGCTGTCGACGCGGGAGCTCGTCGACCGCTACGGCGGCGACACCTACGACGGCGCGAAGAAGGAGAACTTCCCCCTCGTCGCCCCGGACGGCGGCCCGTCGCGCGTCGAGGTCCGCCCGCGCGCGGGCGCGCCGCCGCCGCGGGCCGCGCGGGCCGGCGGGGCGCGCAAGCGGCGGCCCCTGCCCTACGACGCGCAGGGCGGCTAGGGGGCGGCGACCGCGGGGTCCCGCGGCGGCGCCTAAAACTCGGTGCCAGTCTCGGCGACGACCCCCGGGGGCGCGGCGCGCGTCGTCGTCTTCTTGCTAAAGCCCCGCGCCTCTCGGCCTAGCCCGCGGGCGTCGCGGCGAGGTCGTCGCGCGCGTCGTCGTCGTCGGTTCGCGGCGGCGCGCGGAACCGCTCGACGAGGTAGACGTTGACGAGCTGCATGGAGGGCTGGTTGATGGCCTGGGAGAAGACGTCGCCGTGGACGAAGGTGAGCTGCGCGGGCGTCACGGGCCGGAGCTCGAGGACGACGCTGTCCTTGAACTCGCCGAGCGCGTCGAGCGGGTGCGCGCCCGGCCGCCTGCGTGGAAACCAAATCTTCAACCCGACTTCAACGTGAGCGTATGCGACAGTTTCGACGCGAGACTTTCTCCTGTGCTTCGAGAACTCGATGCGAGCGATCGATTCGTCCCAAAATCAGCCGAATCGACGTCGATGTGACCGAGCTCGAGAATTCTCAAGTTTGGTCGGGACCGCCCGAACCGGCGGTTGGTTTCCACGCGGCCGGCCGCTCGTTGCAGTAGACGAAGTCCTTGGGCCAGAGCGTGTGCGTGTGCTTGGCGCCCGACGCCGTGTCCAGGAGCAGCACCTCGACGACGCCGTCCTCGACGACGACGAACTGGTCCTCGCGCGACGTGCCCTTGGTCGGCGGCGGCAGGGGCCGCCGGTGGCCCGGCGCGGCGACGCCGCGCGGCGGCTCGGGCGCGGGCGCGGCCGCGCGGCGCGCGGCGCCGTCGTAGAGCTTGTTCTTCCAGGCGAGGACGTGGGGGTCCAGCGTCTTCCGCGCCGCGTGGCCGCTGTCGGCGCCGTGCGTCGCGAGCGCCGACACCCACGACCAGACCAGGCCCTTGCACCGCTCCTCGGCCTGGTCCTTGATGGGGTCGTGGAGCCCGTCGAAGACGTCGCTCAACAGCTGGAAGAGGTGGCCGGGGATGCTGAGCAGCTCGCAGCGCGTCGACGCGCACGTCGCCGTCGACGCGCGCGGGAGCGCGACGTCCGACGCCTCCGTCTCGAGGAGCTCCGTCTCCCCGAAGGACTCGCCTGCGTGGAACTCAAATCTTCAACCCGACTTCAATGTGCGCGCATTCGAATAGTTCGACACAATCTCTTCGGCTGGGCTTCGAGAACTCGACGCGAGCGATCGATCCGTCCAAACATCAGCCGAATCGATTTCGATGTGACCGAGCTCGAGAATTTCAAAGTTTGGTCGGGACGTCCCGAACCAGCGGTTGATTTGCACACAGGGACTCGCCCTTCTGGAGGCGGTGGAGCCCCAGGCTCAGCTCGCGGCCCGCGCTGCGGTCCCGCCCCCCCAGCGAGAAGCCACTCCGGGGCCGCAGGAGGAAGCTGTGCGAGATGAGCACGTCGCCGCCGAGGAGGATGTAGAACGCGGGGTCCGTCTCGCCGGCACTGAAGACGAGGTCCCCGCGGTTCAGCCGGTGCGCCGGGTAGAGCGGCGGCAGCATGTGGCGGAGCCGCTCCGTGTAGATGCCCGTCGCGGCGACGCCCGTCTTCTTCCGCGCGCCGGGCATGGGGTCGTCGCGCCGCGCGACGGCGCGGAGCATCTCCTGCGCCTCCTTCTCGCTCAGCTGCTCGCCGAGGTAGCGCGCGACGCGCGCGACGTCCGCCGCCGTGACGACGCCGTCGCCGTCGGCGTCGAAGACCTCCATGGCCGCGCGGCGGCTGCCGAGCTGCTTCGTGCCTGAGCAGCAAAAGAGAGCGACATTCCCAACTTCAAAGGCTCCGATCTCGGCCGTTTTCCGCTCGTTTCGGCTGATTTTTGGACGAGCGATCATCTCTCGGAGCGCTCTCGACGCGTGGGTGCTGTTTCCGAAACGCGCGCGCGCGGAACACTCACGTTGAAGCGACGTTGAATCACCCTTGTCCTGCGCTGCTTCGTGCCCTCGCCGCGGTCCCGCTTCAGCCCGCCGTCCGCGTGGCCGATCATCACCGCGAGGAGCATGGCCTTGAAGCGCCGCCGGCCCCGGTGGAACTGGCGCAGGCTCTCCAGCGCCGCCTCGGACGACGCGGCCTCCTCCGCGCTGGAGCTCCGGCGGCCGTCGGGGTCCCGCAGCCACGCGTGGCCCAGGACCTCCGTCGCCGACGGCCGCGCGGCCGGGTCCGACGCCAGCAGCTTCTCCAGCAGCTCCCGCACCGCGCCCGGCACGCGCCCCCACTCGGGCCCCTCGAAGGCGCCCGCCGCCGCCGCGCCCGCGAGCACGCGCCGCGTGACCTCGGCGTCGTCCGCGTCGTTGTTCGCGTCGAACGGGTGCGTGCCTAGGTGGTGCAACGTTGAAGCGACGTTGAAGATACGTTGAAACAAGCATCCGCGGCGCTCCGAGGGACGATCGCTCGTCCGAACATGGGCCGACACGAGCGGGACCGCGGCCGAGAGCGGCGCGCCGGCGCGGGCCCGTGAGCAGGAGGTAGAGGATGACGCCGAGGCTCCAGACGTCCGCGGACTCGTCGTAGGCGTCGCCCCGTAACACCTCCGGCGCCGCGTAGGCCGGCGTCGCGCCCGCGGGGCCCGCGGCCTTGCTCCGCTCCGACCGCAACCCGCCGCCGACGGCCGCGCCGACCGCCCCCCCGATGCGGTCGCTGCCGACGAAGCGCGCGGACCCGAAGTCCACGAGGCGCACGTCCGACGCGTCCGTCTCGTCGGACTTCAACAACACGTTCTCGGGCTTGAGGTCGAGGTGGGCGATGCCCATGGAGTGGAGGTACGCGACGGCGTCGACGACCTCGCGCATGACCGACGCGGCGCCGTTCGCCGTGTACGCGCCGCGCTCCACGAGGCGGTCGAAGAGCTCGCCGCCCCGGGCGAGCTCCGTGACGATGTACCAGGCGTCGGCGCCCTCGAAGATCTCCTTGTAGGAGCAGATGGACCGGTGCTCGCCGGCGATGCGGAGCAGCTCGGCCTCGTCCTTGACGCGGCGGCTCAGCGTCTCCGCGGCCTTGGCGCTCATGTGCTTCTTGGAGACTTGCTTGATGGCCATGATCTCGCCGCTGCTCTTGTTCACGCCGGGGAAGACGACGCCGTGGCCCCCGACGCCCAGAGGCCGCTCCGGCTCGAGCAGGTGGTAGCTGTCCTGGAGCCGCCGCTCGAGGCACCGCGGCGCGGGCTCCGGGGCGCCCAGGGCCAGCGCCAGGGCGCTCGCCGCCGGCGCGGCGCGCGACGCCGCCGCGCGCCACATGGTGACGAGCTCGGAGCAGGCGCTCAAAGGCGACGCGGTGTGACGCGGACGATCGAGGTGTGGAGGACGCGGGCTTCAAGGTGCTCGCCGAAGCACTTCACGAGCGGCCTGTGGCAAAGCCATAGAGATCTATGAGCGCCGAGGCCCGGAGTGCCGCTTGCCAGGCTCGTAGAGCTGCTGCGTGACGCCCGTAGAGCTGCTGCGTGACGCCCGTAGAGCGGTCTCTGCCCATGGCGGCGATCGTCGCGCGCCTCCGCGCCGCCTACGCCGCGGAGCTGGCGAAGTACGCGCGGCACCACCGCTCGCGCGCGAACCTCTGGCTCCACGCGGTCCTCGCGCCCGTGGAGTGGGCCGCGTGCCTCGTCGCGCTGCGCTGCGCCGCGGGCGGCGCCGCGGTCCACACCGCGCAGCTCGTCGTCGTCGCCGGCGCCGCGTGCGCGCGGCCCGCGGTCGCCCTGCCGCAGCTCGTCCTGTCGCCGCTCGCGTGCGCGGGCGCCGCGAACGCGTCGTCCCCGCTCGCGGCGGCGGCGGCCCTCTGGGTCGGCGCCGTCGTCCTCCAGGTGGGCCTCGGCCACGGCGTCATCGAGGGCTCGGCGCCGTCCGCGGCCGCGGAGCCCGTCGCGGCCGCGACGGCGTTCTTCGCCGTCACGCTGGCCTGGGACCCGGCCCTCCTCCGGCGGCGCTAAGACTCGCACCGTTACGACAGGACACAGGACGACGACTCCGCGTTGCCGCCGCGCGCGTGCTGGCCCTTGCCGTAGCGGTCCTTGATCTGGGGCACGGTGGCCTTGCGGACGTTCCACTCGTAGAAGGCCCACTGGGTGCCCGCGTCCTTGGCCGCGACGGAGGACCCGCCGAGGACCTTGACCTCCAGTAATGCGAGCTGGAGCTTGAAGCCCTCGTTCGGGTTCGCCTGGGGCCGCATGCGGTTCACGTGGTGGAAGCCGACGTGGAGGGGCACGCGGTGGGAGATCATGAGGTGCATGAGCGTCAGCGTCACGGACCGCGACGAGCCCGCGATGCAGTGCACGAGGCACCGGCCGCCGACGCGCTCCACGCGCTGGAGGAACTGCGCGGCGACCTCCGCGCACGTGACGATGGGCGCCTTGGGTGCGTCCAAAATCGCGATCTTGTGGTAGACGAAGTGGTCCGGGTGGTAGTTCGGGAGCTGGCTGCACGCGTTGAGCACGTGCGTCACGCCGAGCTCCTGCAAACCCTTCAGATCCATCGCGTCCTCGCGGCAGCCCAGCACGATGTGCTGGGACACGATGGTCCGCTTGCGGATGTCGTCGGGCGCGGCGAACATGCGCGGCGCTCCTAAACCCGACGTGACGAAGCCGCCGTTCGCGACGCGCGGCCCGCGCGTCGCGTGCGCCTTGCGCCGCGCCGCTTCGACAACACGGAGCTCCAAATCATCATCAACAACAGGCGGCGCCGTGATGTCGCGGGAGCCCTCGCGCCGCTCGCGCCGCTGGCGGCCCGCGTCGCTGAACGCCTGCGACGCGACGACCATCGTCCGCACCTTGCGGAACCGCTTCCGCGCGCGCTGCCGGCTGTCGAGGCCGTCCGCGGGCGCGACGACGATGGCCTTGCCGGAGCCCGGCGTGCGCGCGCCGCCGCCGGGCGTGCGCTCGCCCGACGCGTACTGGCCGTACTCGCCGCTCCGCCGCGGCACGCGCACCGTCGGTCGCTCGCCGAGGCCGTTGTAGGGGTGGACGGCGCCGCCGCTGACCATGCCCTTGCGCCCGGCCCCCGCTTCCGACACGCGGAGCGCGGGGACCCGCCGCGGCGCCCCCAGCGCCGTCGTGGAGGTGCCTCCGCGGTCCCCGGTGGGGCCGGAGACGCGCCGGGATAGGCTAGAATGCCGCAACCAGCGGCCGGCCGTGTCACTATCGACGCGCTACCAGGATTTTGGGGGGTACAGCGCGACGGCATCGTGAACGTTGAGGTCGCAGAGCGAGCTCATCGAGCTCGTGTCTCGCCGCGAGTTCTCAACTCGCCGGCCTCAACCGACGCGCGGATTCGCCGCTGCGACCAACCTCCGCAACAACACTCGCGAATCGCCGCTGCGACCGCAACGATGGCGTCGCCGCTCGGCGCGGGCCTCCGGCGCCTGGCCAAGCTCGCCAACTGGGAGCGGCGGCCGCGCGGCGGCATGCGGGACCTCGACCACCGGCCCTGCGCCGCCGTCGCCGGCGCCCTGGGCTTCTCGCCGAAACGCGGCCCGCGCATCGTCCACGTCGCCGGCTCCAAGGGCAAGGGCAGCGTCGCGACGCTCGTCGCCGCGGGCCTCGAGTCCGCCGGCTACGGCGTCGGCCTCGTCACGAGCCCGCACGCGTTCTCGGTGACGGAGCGCGTGCGCCGGGGCGACGGCCGCGGCCTGCGCGAGGCCGACGCGTCCAAGCTCGGCGCGCGCGTCGCCGCGGCGGCCGCGGCCGTCGAGCGCGCGCGGCGCGTCTCGCCGCGGTCGCCGCTCGCGCGCGCGACGTGTTCGACGCGTTCACGGCCGCGGCGC